ATGTATTATAAGGTGGACTTGGAGTGATCATGATGAAACTGTTTGAGGTCCTGAGCTAGGACCTGTCTAAAAATATGGGGACTATCTCGGAAGCTTTGTGGCAAAACTGTCCAAGTGAGTTGTTTAGAATGTCTTGTGTATGGGTCCGTCCAGGTGAAGATGAAAAAATCTTGGGAGCAGGGGTCTAGAGGGATAGAAAAATGGGTCTTTGAGATCTAGGACTGAGAAGTGGGATGCTGAGGCTGTATGGATTTGGAACTAAGGGATGGATAGGGACAATGGCTATGTTGATGAGGCGAAGGTCTTGGACAAGGCGGAAAGATCCGTTGGTTTTTTTAACAGCTAATATGGGGGTATTAAATGGGGAGTGAGTGGGTCTGCTTGAATGATGGGTTGGAGGCCTATGAGGGCTGAAGTGGTTAGGGGGTATTGGGCCTGACAGATATACTGAGAGGGGTCACATAATTTGATAGAGGCAGGGGGACATAGGGCCACGGAGGGGCTTGTAATGTCCCAAACTTTGGGATTTACAGGGTGTATGAGGGCAGAACCGGAGCTTTCATTGGGTAGAGGGGGGTCGTCGGCTATGAGGGCCATCAGAAAGGGAGTACTGGGGGCTGTGGGAGTGGATATAGTTATGGAAACGTGGAGGAGGGAAAGGATGTCTCGTCCTAGTAAAGGGATGGGACACTGGGGCATAACCAGGAAGGAGTGGGAGAAAGGTATGGGATTGTCTTGGATTGTGCATAAAAGGGTGGGTGGGGGGTTTAATGGGAAAATCTGTTTACCTCCTACTCTGACTATAGGAGTAATGGCTGGCGTGGTAGGGCCCCGGTATTCTCACAAGACTGAGAAGGTGGCTCCTGTATCTAGGAGGAAGGAGATGGGGTGACCGTCTACTGTTAAAGTAACCCTGGGCTCCTGTTTGGTGATGGAAATGGTCGGGCGAGAAGCCCCCGGGCCCCATCAATCTTCTTCTGCCAGCCCCACTACGGCGGGCTTAGGATGGGGGTTGTTCGTCCAGCCTCCCCTTCGGGTGGTTGGGCAATCAGACCCCCAGTGGCCCTTTTTGTGGCATCTGGGGCATGGGGTGGTAGGAGATCTGGGGGAGGGGCACGCCCTTGACCAATGTCCCTCTTTTCTGCACTTGAAACAAGCTCCTGGGGGGGCTTGTTTGTAGAGGGGCGCCCAGGTTGTGGTTTTATCAGCTGGGCCAACATCTGGAAATTGGCCTGATCAGCCTTTTGTTTACGGCATTCTTTCTCCTCCTCCCGCTTATGGAAGACTTTAAAGGCCACTGTTAGGATCTCAGTCTGTGGGGTAGCGGGGCCCTGTTCTAACTTTTTGAGTTTAGCTTTAATGTCGGGGTAGCCTTGAGCTAGGAAGTATGTCATAAGGACATGTCTTCCTTCAGGTGTTTCTGGGTCCAGGCTGGTATACTGTAATAGGGCTTGAGTGAGTCTGTCTAAGAACTCGGAGGGGATTTCATCTCTCTTTTGAATTATGTCTTGGAGCTTTTGAAAATTGACTACTTTACAAGCTGCCCTTTTTCAGACCTGCTATTAAGCAGGAGGCAAAAATATCTCGAGAGCGGAGACTCATGGCGGTGTTATAATTTCAGTGTGGGTCTTGTTCGGGGACAGCAGTGGGGCCAGGGGGATAGGTGGGGTCAGTCCTGTGGGTTTCAGTAGCCTGCATTTGGGCGAAGTCCTAAACTCGTCTACGCTCTTCAGGGAGGAGAGTATTGGCCAGGAGCATGAAAATGTCATGATGTGTGAGGCTGTAAGACTGGAGGGTCTATTGAAACTCCCTGATGTATGTCATGGGATCAGTGGAAAAGGAACTTAGGCGTTTCTCTAGTTAGGCTAAATCTCTTAAGGAGAAAGGGACGTGAACGCGCACGATGCCTTCGGATCCTGCTACCTCCCGGAGGGGGGCGATAATTTTGGGAGGCTCTCGGGACTGAGTCTGAGGGGGACTGAAGGGTTCTGGCTCAGTCTGTGGGGGAGTGACGTGGTCTAGCCGTGCCTAGTCGAGCAGGTCCTGAAGTGCAGAAGGGGGGCAAAGAAAATAAAGAAAGATAGAATCGGACTCACATGTTGCCAGCCTGCAGCCCAGCTGCTTGCCTCTGCCGCTCTAGTTGGGCTTGAACTCATGACTCTGAATTAAGAGTCCCATGCTCTACTAACTGAGCTGCAGCAGGGCTCTAGTTAATTGCTTATGGAATGCGTAAAGAGAATGTTCTTTGTTCTCCATTCCTGCCACATCCACAAGTCGGGGAAGGGCATATTTAGAAGCAGGGGCGGTGTTTCTACACATCTTCAAGGTCTCCCTATTTTCAGAGTGAGGAGTCTTGGCAAGATATGTTTTTGTGGACAGATAACTTCTAAGGACTGCACCGGTTGTTCTCTAGCTTGTGCTTTCCCATGCTGCGTTCAGACATGGGGGGAGGTGCTTTCCCATTCTCTCTACAAACATGTGAGAAGACAAAGGCGGTCCCTAACAGGGGAGAAACAGGTGATGAGGGCAAAGATGGAGGAGGCCCCTGGGACCTAGTTAAAGGGGGGCTGAAAGGCTCAGGCTTAATCTGCAGGGAATGAAGGTGGAGGAGGTGAGATGGGGGAGGAGATGGTTGGGGAGGAAGGGAGAAGGGCTGTTGTAGGAGAAGAAGGGGAAGGGAGTGAACGGGAGGCTTCTGCGGGGGCGGCGGCTTGCAGGCTAGGAGAACTTGGGAGGGGGCGGGGAGAGGAGGAGGCGGAAAGCTTCGATATAGGGAATCTCCTTCCATTTTTTCAGGCGCTGGCAGTAGTTAAAAAGATCGCGAGTGATGTTAGGATCAAGAGTTCCCCCTGCAGGCCATTGGTTGTTATTGTCTAGGGGGTATGTCGGCCAATCTTGGGAGCAATATTTACGGAGAAGTTTTGGTTTTATATCAGGCGTCAGGGAGAGGGTAGCCAGATGCTTAAGCAGGCATTCAAGAGGTGAACTTTCAGGGAGGGATGAGGAGGCTCCCATGGCTAAAGGACAGAGAAGGAGACAAACAGGGGAAGACGAACGGAGATCCTCGGACTGGAAGCAGACCACAAGGAGACAAAGGGCGTCCCCGATGATCCTTGGTGGTCTGCGGAAACTCGTATACGAGTCGGAATTTCTTGGGAAGTGTGGGTCGTCACCCAGACTTCCCTAAGAAGGCAGAGTGCCGGAGTCACGAGGTACCTAGCGCTAGGCGTTTTCGGCGGACGGAGCAGAAGGAGGAGGGGGGGAAAAGGGAGCGTTCTCATCCACAAAGGAGTCACCTCGTTTATGGCTGTTGGAGGGGGGTGCCTGAGAGTCAGCCGCAGCCGTGAAGGCCTGAGGCGGGGATTTATGACTGTCGGAGGAGGGGCCTGAGCGTCCGCCGCAGCCGTAAAGGCTTGAGGCGGGGATTTATGGCTTTTGGAGGAGGGGCCTGAGGGTCCGCCGCAGCCGTGAAGGCCTGAGGCGGGGAGCGTTCCCTCCTCATCCCCGAGCGTCAGGGCCTTGCCGGACGATCACGGTCAATGGCACTGCGATAGCTCGGGGAAGAGTGGCCCACTCCGGGGGGAAAACTTACCTAAAGGCCAGAGAGGAGTGGTGAGTGTGATGAGCCAGCGCCGGAAAAAGAGGACGAGGGCAAGCTGCTGCTGGTGTCGGGGGAAGACGGGGCCCAGTTGGGGTGTCCCGTCTCCCGGGTTTCGGCACCATTGAAAGGAAAGGCGCGACACATAGCAGCAATTCACCGGAGAGTTCCGCTTTATTAGGGAAAGGTGCTGGGTTATATAGGAGGGGGCATGAATTGATTGAGGTGTCACTTCCACGGGGCTGTTGGCTGTTGGCTAGGTGCTGGGATTGGGAGGGGGGCGAGAGGTGATTGGGCTTCAGGTGGCACCGGCGGGAACTGAGGACCCCGAAGAGAAGCCGGAAGTTTGCCATCTTACTGGTGGGGACCCTTCAGTAAGTGCAGACTGGGTACTTACAGTCCATGTAAAAAAGTTTAATGAATTTTACAGACCTGCAAGTTCACTATGTCATGGTCAAAGGGTGATTATAATAAGCATGGCTGACCATAAGGACTCAAATCAAAAATAAATAGAGACATGAATGTGATCTTAGGCAGCATTAATAGAAATGTATTACTTAGAATAAGAGAAGTCAGAGTCTGCCTCTGTCCCTTCAGTGGTCAAAATACTTATACCTGAAGAAAACACAAACCATCCTGGATATGGTTGGCAGAGAATGATTATGATAGTAAGGAATTCAAAGCTATGGCATATGAGGAATGATTAAAGCTACTAATATACTTATCCAGGAAATGAAACTACTTAAAGTTTAACTGACATCTGAAGATTGTTTTGTGGAAGAGAGATGAGAATTTTTCTATATGGAACCAATGCAAAAGATACAGGGACAAAGGGTAGAACTATGAGACAGGTTTGTGTTTGACATAGGAAGGACCTTAAGTTGAATGAGAGCTGCCAAAAAATGGAATGGGATGCCAGGTTTTTTAATCCAGAATTTTATTTATGTAGAAGATAAATAGCCACTTACTGTGCCTACTGTAGAGCAAAGTACAGTACCATAACAGGTTAACCCAGCAAACATCTATTGTCACTTTCAAAACTGAGACCTTAATGAAGTTATTAAAGTAAGGCTTCCAAATATCAGGTGTACCTATATACATTTTTCAAGAAAGAAAAATCAGACCACTTAGAAGTACTAAGACCCTGTATGACTCAATGATTATCCATAAGAAAACCCACCAATTGATTTTTACTAGACTTAGGATTTTATATGTTTGGGTCAAATAGAATACAGTGCTTATTTTCAGACACCTTATAACTATTTCTCTCAACTTATAGAATGTGCCCAACAAATACTTCAAAGGCATTTTTCATGAATATAGGTAATAAAAAAGAAAAAAACCCTCATAGCTTTTGCATCATACTTGTTACAGAATTCACAAACTTTTGCAGGCAAGTTACCTGCTCTGGTTTCACTAGTTGCTTTTTGGATTCCTCTTCTTTGACTGCATGTACACTTATAGATGCACATACCAGACCTGCAGGCATGGTTGTCAGCATCCCCATCTGAGAAAGAAATATCAAAAAAATATTTTTAATTGAAAAGCCCCCCATCCTCCATTTCCTGATAAATTTGGGGGTAGATCTGAGGAACACTGTGGGTTTCCTTTATTAAAAACTCAAGCACTCCAAATGACTTACTATATTTTTAGGTTATAATTCCTAAAATTATCATCTGATACTACATGGCAGAATATTATTTTTATGAATTTGTTAACTATTTCATATGGAACAAAGCAACATAATAATTACTAGGAAGAAGTGAATACATAATTTGAGGGAAGAAGTGAATACATAATTTGAGGGAAGAAGTGGGATAGATCATGGTATTCACTCAGTCCACAAATACTAAGATATTAAGCCACTACTTTGTACCAGGCCCTGGTTTCAGTGCTTATGATACATCAGTAAACAAAACAAAGATTTGTGCTCTAATGGAGGTGATGCTTTAGTGGAGCAGAGACAGGCAATAAACACAGTCAATAAATTATATGGAATATTACAAACTGATAAATGCTGTTGGAGAAAATAAAGGGTAAAAGTGATCTGGATTACTGGGTGATTCAAGTTGTGTCTTGAAATATAATTTATATTTACATTATTTATTAAATTTTGTTTCATTACAAATCCTTTGCCCCAAACTTCCCAATGCATTCCTTTCTACCTGTTTCATGCTTAATCTAAAGCAGACATTGTCAAAAGTGACATTTGTTTGGAAAATAACTTGATTTTAATTAAGAATGCAGAAAAATTCTGGATCTAAGAACAAAGTGTTCCAGTGTTTACTCAGGTATCAAAATATCCCCCAAAGATTATCCCTTCAACAAGGCCAAATGAAAAACTTTCCAGGGAACAAATATTTTAAAAGCTTGATTCTTTAGAAGAAAGGAGGCTTGCTGAAATCAACAAAGGATATCCACAGGGAAGAGGTCTCTTTGGCTTACACAAATGGAATTATGCAAAAACTGGAACAAACACTATCCAAAGGATTCTAAATGTTCTCTCTTAACAGTGATAGTGCCTGTACTTCATTACTGACACATTTTCCAGTATTTTCTGAGCATAGTAATGGAAGCTACAGGCACTAGTTAAGCAATTTCCTGTTTAAACTAGATCTGACTTAGACTGAGACTACAGAAATACAGGGCAAAATGAAGACTCAATACTCATAAGAGAAATTTTGTTCACTGTTTTTCCCCCTTTAAGCCTCCTAGTACATGTCAACAATAATGAGTGATTTATCTAGGCCTGCCTCCCAAAAGATATTACTTTTGATTTCTTATACCTGATTGGTATTCACTAATCAAATAAGATTTCTCCTCTGTACCTATTTCAGGTATCAGTTAAACTTATTAAAACTGATACCAGCAAAGATGCTCTCCCATGTACCTGAGAAATTTTGTTAATAAAACTTTGAAGTGATTATTTGAAGGATGTCAATTCTTACAACATTCAAAAGCTACTTTTAAAACACCTGATAGACCTTATTCCCTAGATATAAGAAAAACACTTTTGAAGTATGCTAATATCTGAAACATTTTCAACATCCTAATGTTCTCAGAGTACAGTCACCCTCATATAATGCAATAATAATAATATGTAGACTATAAAATAAATTCATTGCTTGATATTGCTTGATAATTATGATCTCGTGCTCTACAGTCTGGACTAACTCATAAACTAGTAACCTAAAAAGTTAGTATACTTTGAAAAATGCCTAAGTATCTTTGCTACATTTTCTACTTATTAGAACAGGGCCCATCCACCTTGACTTTTATTGATGAGGCAGTGTGGCATAATGGAAAAAACATGAGCTCTGGAGTTTCACAGGCCCGGTTTAGACGACCAGTTGTGGAACTTACTGTTTAAATCTGGGCAAGTTATTTAAGCTTAGAGTTATGCTGTCCAATATTGTAACTATTAGCCATACATGGTTATTTAAATTTAAATCAATTAAAAATAAATAAAATTTAATATTTAGTTCCTTAGTCACATCAGGGCTCTTTCAGAGAGAGGCACAGATCTACAATAATTCCATCACTGAAGAAAGCTGTCTTGCCAATGGTTTTCAGCCCTGGGCAAGTTTGCTGTGGATGCAGTAAACAAATGACAGTAGAACATTCTTGGGGTGGAAGGGTTTATTACCTGGCTTGTTCTCCCAGCAGTAGGTCAAGCACTAGCGTCTCTGCCTCCATGCAGAGCACTGGCCAAGCTCTCTATATAGTGCAATAATAGCTTATTGCCTATGGGTGTGGAAGCTGTAGCCTAGCAACAGGCCAGTTACATCATCAAGTGATTTAAGTTCAGAGAGGATCCTAGCCATAGGGACCCCAACTTACTCACACTCCACCCCTACAGGATTCTTGCCTTACAATCTACACACTCTGAATCTTCCGCAATGGTCCCTGTGCGAGAAAGCTGGAGCACTGTAACCAGATTCCACAACAGCAACACCGAATAACAACTTAGAGATAACAAAAATTAAGATACAAAAAGATTTTGACACCAGTTACAAACATTGTAATAATCCTCAAGCCAGAGGAGGTTCCCAATCCACAAAGACCTTAGGGGCAGTAAGACACGTTTTAATGACACCAACATAGGCAAATCTTGTCTATCAGGTAGGATGCATGCAAGAGAGTGGTCCTGTGATAGGACTGTAGCAGGAAGGGGGTCCCTTCCAGGTCTAGTGTACCATACTTTTACTCCTTTCCCCATGGGGGTTACTGAAGGGTCTATATATAGTGCTACTGGAGGTTCATGCACTGGCCATAATGATAAAACAAAACTCCCTGGTAAGATGCTCCTACCTTCTGGCCATTCAGGATATACTACTGTGACCTTTGGGGACCACTCTGCTGTTATTCCAGGAATACAAAGGAGGCCAGCTTCCAGGCCCTGTCCCCAAGGTGCCAGGAGAGCCAGCCATCATTGGTCCATGTGTCCAAAGGTCCAAGGCCACATCCACTCAATGGAGTCTCCAGGGTTTAGTGCAGTTGGTTCTGGCAGAAAGATATTATTCTGGTGGCCAAACCTTGGCTTCAGTGATAATTCCTTGGTTTGTACTTGCAGTTGTATAGGGGAAGCAACAATATGTGTTAACATGTCTATGGGGTTCAGGGCTCCCTTTTGGGATCTCTTGTTCAAACACCATAGCACAGTCCATAAGCAGACTGACTATCCCCGCAGACTGTTGGTATCTGACTTTAGTCCAGATTTTAACAAGCCATTGTGCCTCTATCATGCATGCTGTGGTAGGATTGTATGGCACATGAAACTTCCATTTGATTCTCAAATGTTGCACTAATTCTTGCAGTGTATGTCCAGTAAAATGGGTGCCCTAATCACTCTCCATTACCTGTGATTGGCCATAGGTGGCAAAGAGATTCTATAGGCCTCTTTTGGTCATCTGCTGTTCTGCACAACATGTAGGAAAAGCACCAGAAGTCCAGTAGGTATGTATACACAAGTCATCGCATACTAATATGGTTATGATACAGGCAGAGGCCCAATATAGTCTATCTGCCACCTGACAAGGGATATAGGCCCCTTAGCTATTGTCCCATTTGCTGTGGAACTCAGTGCAAGTCCCTTTTAGAGCATACAACACACTCCTGCTAGGCTCTACTAATTTCTTCAAAGGTCAAAGGCAAGCCTCACCAATGGACTACAGCTCACATTGTCTTTTGCCCCACATGCAACAAACACTGATGTAACCATTGGGCTATGTCAGAGACAGGCTTTCCTTCTAACCAACATGTCTGGGCCAATTTATCTGCTACATCATTTCCTGGGGATGCCAGTGGGAAATGACCTGTCACATGGTATACTGTAATTATTTTAGTCTGACCACAGGCCCATGAGTCTTGCCACAATTCTTTCCCCCAAAGGGGTCACTGAACAACCAGCAAGTTGGCATGCTACCAGGTTGGTAGCCATAGGGTTAAGCCTTGATAGCCCATCTGTCAGTAAAGACAACTATATGGGAGGGCTCCTGGTTTATCACAAGCCACAAGGCCCACAAATCTGCCCATTGGATAATCTTCACCTCACTATCTTCCATCCGTATTGTCTCTGTCTTAGGATGCAAAGCTACAGCTCTCCATTTTGAGAGCTTCCCATGGCTGGAGTCATCCCTGTACCATGCATCTTTGGATCTTTGGGTATAGGGTGTCTTCCTTCCCAATAAGGACTCTCTGCTACTAATGGTTCTAAAGTAAATTCTTCCAGCTTTTTACTAGTATATGTCACTGGCCCCAGTAAGTGTTGGAGGTCCTCACTCAAGGAGCTACTAGAGAGGGCACTATGCTGCTGTAAATAAGCATCACACTTGGCCAGTGTGGCATTTTTGCCACACCACTCCTTGGCTTTTGGGTCCATTCTTGTATTTCCCCCAAGATGGGGTAGGTGAATATTACCTTTATCGGGGCAATTCCAGTGATGGGTTCTGTAGCCAGCAAGGCATGATAGACAGCAGACAGTTTTTTTCTATCAAAGTGTATTGTACCTCTGCCCCTTTCCAGAGTTCTGACCAAAACCCAATAGGTTAGAGAGTTCGTTCAAGCTGCTGCCAGAGACCCAAGCCATAACCATATTTAGTCACATGAACATCTAGCTCACAGGGCCTTGTTGGGTCTATCATGCTCAAGGCCTGCGTGGCCTTGACTGCCCATTTTGCTGTAGTAAAGGCAGATACACATGTTTCATCACAGTCCCACCTGATGCCCTTTCATACCAACCGGTATAAGGGCTTCAGAATTTCTGCCAAGTGCAGGATAAACACTCTCCAGTAGCCTAGAAGACCCAAAAACTCCTATAACAATGCTACAGTTGTAGGGGTAGGAAAGACCTGGACTTTGTCTATAGCTGCTTCTGGTATAACTTTGGTCTTATCTAAAGAGACAACCTCCAAGACATTGACTAACAAACCAGGTCTCTGAACCTTGATACTGTTCACAGCCCATCCTTTCTCCTGTAGATGTTGCAGCAGTCTACGTGCTACACCT